TTGTTCCTTGTCAAGGGAAGAACGGAGCAGTTTGGAAGCACTCGCGCCCACGGTATTATATACTCCAGCACCCCGCATTGGTGTGTAGATAAATCACGGCCGTGCCCGATTTACACACTGCATATCATGCCGCCACACCGAATGCTGCTCGCATTCGGTGATGCCACGTACTGCTCGCGGGCGCACTACCAGTCCAGGTGGGTTGCATCAGCCAACCAGCGGCTCTCAAATGACCCCCGGTCACCGTCACGGGAACTTCCCCGCTCACCGGTGTACCGCTCAGCTTCTAAGTAGGGTAACATTTTGGTCCTGATTGGGTCACGGAAGGCACTCCGTTGGATACCATACACCTGCGGCTTGATGATCTGAATGCAAATATCAGGGGCTGTCCTTGACTAGGCCCATGCGGTGTAATTTGCAATATCACGTCCCAGGAGACGGATGACCGGGAAGACGTGGCCCAACACAGTTGAGCTATGAGGCGGCAGAGATGCTCGGTGGGATACTTTGTCACACGCCGAGGCCTTACTGTGGTAGCTGGAGCTCACACTAAATGACTCTGAGTTGCATGCCCCAAAACCTTGCCACAAGCTACGGGCGGCCTTGCAGCCGCCCGACTAGGGAAGGTAGTAAGTAAAACCGCTGCCGTGTCAGACAGTTGGCCACCGGGACCACAGTTGGCATCGTGTAATTGAAGAGATTAATCTGAAGAGCTGTCTGTAAGCGCCAGATAAGGCGCTGCTCCTTAAGCACGAAGCAGAGGCTATTGATTTGTGGCGCGGGATCCTTCCAAATGAGGCCGCTGCTCCGAGTTTTGCAACAATGTTCGAGCTTTGATCTCAATTAGCCCGTCCAACGTGTTACACCGCATAGCCCCCAGAGTCCACCTGTCGAGGTTCACCCGCAGCTTCAAATGTTCCATTGGGAAGAAGCCGAACTCCTTGCGCCAAGCTGTAAATCGGCGGGACCCAGGTTAAGTTGTGGCCCAGTGATCCGATGTAACTGACGGTTGAGTTGCTGTAGGCATACTCAAACGTCGTGTTGCTTGGCCTCAGCTGGTTATGCAGCCGAGGTTGCGCCAGGGCCTGAGGTACCGTCAATCCCGAGTCCAGCACGTGGATTAAATTCTGAATAGTAGCTGAGATGATGCGGCTGCCTCCCGCTGCACCAATAGCGTAGTACAGACGGCCATCTGGGTGCTCAACAATCACGGGCGAGATGGATGACAACGGCCGTTTGCCGGGCATAATAAAATTGGCTTGGTTTGGGACATAGCCGTAAGAGTTGTTTTTTTCAGGGATGCTGAAGTCGTCCATTTGGTTGTTCATGACTACACCGGTTTCTGGAACCATGAGGAGCGAGCCGAAGTGAGTATTGATTGTAGTAGTCAGTGACACTGACATACCACTCGCGTCGGCAGCGACCATATGCGATGTTCCGGGAGTATCGTCCGCCAACGTGTTGTCTGGGTCATACCAGGAAGCGTCTTCTGTCTTAAAGTCGGAGATCTTGGCTCGAAGCTTGTTTCCTGTGTCAGGATTTACCATGTTCTGTGTATACGCTGCCATGCCGGATACGAAGTCGGGGTCCCCCAACTTGCTGCGCTGCCCGTATGCGAATTTCATGGCCTCAATGAGGCGATGTGCGCTTTGGTTAACTTCCGCCGGGTTGCCAAAGTCGCCATATCCGCTGATGGTGTTGAGCGCGCTCAGCGCGACCACTCCGGATGACGGCACGTTGGTACTGGTGAGCTTATACCCACGGTAGTGCATGGATACGGGCATGCGATGCGCAACTTTGTAGGTCCGGAGGTCCTCGAGTGTCATTGTGCCGTTGGCCGCTTTCAGTGCGGTGATGGTGGCATTGGCAATACTGCCCGTGTAAAAGGCATCAACGCCTTGCTTGGCGATGGACTCCAGTGTCGTACCATACCGCTGCCGCGTCATGACCTCCCCAAGCCTCACTCTGTAGCCCCGTGGCGCGAAGTCAATGGCCCAGGTTGGGTCCTCCGTCAGGAAAGTATTAGGCGACACGCGACCCATGGCCTGGATGAGGTCGCCAGTCACTGTGAAGCCTTGACGAGCCACATTGGCGGCGGGCATCACGACGTCCGCCCAGGGTAGCCGACCATACTGACTGTGGATGTATTCTAGTCCTCTGAGTTCCCCGGGCACGCCGCTGGCAATTTACCGTCTAAGATTAGCTCAAGTGGCGGTGTTGTGGGCAGTCAATAGAGACTAGGGTCATTGAGTACGCACCTTGCGAGGCCACCGTATACACTCCCGTTGAGATTGCCCTTGAACATGTCCTGGTATGCGGCCTTTGGAGCTGTGTCCCTAAAGTCCACAGACTCGTATGAGCCATTACCATGGCGTACGAGGGCAAATCCGCCGCCGCCGATGCCACTGTGGTACATGCTGACAGTACCAACGCAGAGGACAGTTCCCACGATGGCATCGACGGCGCTGCCGCCCTTCTGCAGAAGATCCGTGCCGATGCGGCTGCATACGCTGCTCTGCGAGGCTACGGCGCCGAGCTTGGATGAAGACCCATTAGTAGAGGGCCCCTGTGCCAGAGATGCCGGAAACAAGTTCGTCGCCAAGAGCAGCCCAGCTGTTGAGACAAAATTGATGGTGTTTAATGGCATCGCAACAATCTTTTGGTCGTGTTCAAATTTTTTGTAGAACAAGCTGCACCGACCTGTCAGAAATTGCAGAGGGTTTTACTGTACTAGGAGCCTGCCAAAGTCACTGCTCGCCTTATATGTCGTACGCAAGCCTCACACATGAAGAACCGGTGAACATACCCAGTCGGACAATTTCCAAGGTACACTCGTCTCCTAAGATGTCGGCTTCCCCGGAGCTGCCTAGTACCGTGCAACGCCACGCCTCCCACAGGGGCGTTACGCTGCCTAAGTCTATCTGCATGTAGCTTTGGCAAAATCGCAAGCGGCCGATCCCATTGCATCACCCGTTATGGGTGGCTGTAGGTGGTCCTATGACCGGGAAAGACCAAAGCGCACTGCGTTTGGTTGGACACAAATCACACAGGGACGGATGTACTGCGTCCGCCACGGATACTGAGTGCTGTCACGTCTACACCGAGACACCTCAAGGAAGCTTGTTGCCTCGTTCCACAGCCGACGAATCTCAAACATGTCACGGGATTGCCGGACACGATGTCTGAGTTTGACCATCTGCAATGCAGTTCCCAGCCACAGGTCGCAGTAGCTCGCGTCCGCAACCGGACTCTTCTCATATTACTCGACAGAACTCAGCGGTAACGGTCCGTTGACGAAAAGGGAAAGATGGCTTGGAATACGTAGGCATTTACAGCTCAACCACCACGGCGCCGTGATTTATCAACCGGGTCGCCAAGTGAAACCGCAAGTACAATTGACACCCGATGCCTGCAGGCACTTAGATGTTTCACTAATTTCTACGCAAAATTTAGCCTAAGTTACATCCTGGTTCGCAGGTAGTTACGGTCACGGAGCAAATGACGTATTCCCCCTGTGTCCTGCACACCGTACTCGGGCAGACCGGAGATTACAAGGGCTCTAAGACCGCGGCCGGCTCCCATCTGGGCCAAAACTCATTGCAATACGAGGCGGTGGTCTACCGTGTATGCCCCACACTAGGGAGGCTGACAGAAGATAGCCCCAACGTGGATCTGGTTAAATGCCAACGAATTATCGTCCGACCTCTTTGCTGTTGCTCATATCATGCATTGCTTACCACTTGTCCATAGCCCGAGTCCTATCTACTTTGACCCTCCCTGGCTTCTGAACGTGTGGGCTGCAGATACTCAGCTGATAGGCCCCTATACTCTGCTACAGTGGACCAGCCTGACATCAAAGCTGGAGAAAGCACCACCAGAGGCGTTGGACTGGCCATGTTCCTCACCTAGGTCCGTCGGCAAGTTTCAGGCTCTACGCCAGGCTGAGTGGTTCTTGGATGCCGCGAGGATATCTGAGGAGATTTGGCTACAAACAAGAAGAATTCCCAATGTAACTGTCGACCTATCAGAACGTCCCCAGAGCCGCTGGTCCCGCCGTTACTTTTGACATCGGCAGCGAACATGAAGGGCGTTGGTGTCGGACGAGACTATCGGGCGCCAGGTTTATTCGTCGATACTCGGCGCTGTCGCGGTGCAAACCCAAATCTGTGAGTCTATTCGGATAACTCAGTGCCCTACCGAGGCATATTCGCTGCGGCTACCCCGTATTGGATCAGTTGGATCAGCCCTGTGGATGAATCAAACCCTGGTGTACTTAGAATGCTTCCTCCACGCGCCACCATAGCGTTGGATGGCGATTGGCACGAGAGCTAAAAGGAGATTGAGACTGGCAAGTACCAAAAACCCTCGACCGTAGCCAAATTGTTCCACAGCTGATGCCATCAAAAGTGGTAGAAATGCACTAGCCAGGCATCGCAGAACGATGACACCTGTCAAAGCGGATGCTGAGTGCAGCCCGGAGGCGTCCACTACATACGCCATAAGCGGTAGGATGACCAAAAGCAGCGAAAATCGTATGAAGATGACGGACGCGAGAAAGAGAGTGAG